TGAAAAGGTAAATCTAAGAGAACATGTCTCAGTTGTATTCCAACAAAAGTTACCATCGAAACTGAAAGACAAGGGTATGTTCGCAATACCCTGTAAAATTGGTAAAGTTGGGATAAAACGAGTTATGTGTGATCTTGGCGCCTCTATTAATGTAATACCTCTCTCTATTTATAATATGATTACTAATGAGCCCTTGAAGGATACAAAAATATTAATTCAACTTGCTGACAGATATGTCATTTACCTGGAAGGACTCTTGGAAAATGTGCTGATGAAGGCGAAGATTTAATATTTCCCTCTGATTTTTATGTATTTGACATGGAGAATGATCGCACCAACACTTTTTCCGATATTCTATTGGGGCATCCTTTTCTAAGTATTGTGCACACAAAGATTGACGTAAGAAGCTGAACTTTAACCATGGAGTTTGATGGTGAGATCGTTAAATTTGATGTGTATAAGAAAATGAAACACCCAGAGAAAGTGACGAGCATAAATTATATTGGAATTATTGATCCTTTGGAAAATGAGTTTGTAAAAACTTATTTTTCCTTTAATGTATGCAGGGAGTTAAAAGATCATGATGAGGAAATCAGGAAGTTGGAAAAAAATATTTTAGATTGTGCCGCTCTAAAATTGATTCCTGCTAAGTCTAATGTTATGTCTTCTGTTTTGCAGGCACCTGAGATAGAACTGAAACAAATGTCGAAAAACTTAAAGAGTGCATTTTTAGGAGAAAATGCTACTTCACCGATTATTTCGGATAAGCTGTCAAAGCTAAAAAAAATCCGAAGAATAACCTATGAGAATGTCAAATTCTACAAGGAGAAAATAAAAGAATTGTACAATCGTAGAATTTCTCATAGGGAAATTCTTAGTTAGAAAAAGTGTATGAAGTGGTATAAGTATTTCTCTTAGAACCTGTAGTCTGAATCAGGTCGTCGAGCTAACGACGTTAAACAAAAGAGCTTAATGGGAGGTAACCCATTTCGTTTTATTTTCATTTTAATTTTGCTTTATTTTTAGCCAAATTTATTTCATTCCATTTATTTTATCAGATGATTAATTTTATTTTATTTTTCTTTGAACAGATTCGAATTTCGATTGAATATATCTTACCTTCTCCCGGGCTCGTCTCGACATGACCATGGCTGCGGTCGCCACTAGATTGGGGAGTATTCCTTTTCCCTCTCTTTGTTTTTAAATTCGACATACGTTTTGGGACAAAACAGATTAAGTGAGGGGGGAATGATAAGCATGTGTCAAAATTTTCCTTGGCTTGTTTAATTGTTTGAAATTGAGTTATTCTGATGTTGATATGTTGGGATCATTGGTTGCTAGTCTTGAATTTCGCTTTATAATCTTGCTTCATTTTGGATTATGACCATGTTTTTGATCGAATTTTATTTTCATGATTGATGATTAATATAACTGGTGAAATTTTTGTTGAGTATTGATATTTCATGCTTTTATCGATAGAGATGAACTTGACTCAATGCATATAAACCTTTCTTGTGAGATTTGAGCCTAACGAGCATACATTTTCTTTCTTGCTTATTGTTTAACTTGTGTGTGCCGAACTAATTAGGACATTTTAGAACTTGTAATCACAATGCATATTGAGACTAAATGTTGAACGTAATGTTTTAATGTGATAGGGACACCTAGGATAAACCCACTCTTTCCAAAAAGCCTACCTATTTGTATATCTACTAGTGAACCACATTTGAGTCTATATCCCTTTCTTTGTTTTACACCTCATAATTAAACCTGAAGCCTTTTTTTTATTTTTCCTCTCTTTTCACACCCTTGCTGAGACTTGAGATCTTATATCATTGTTGTTCCACGAAAAAAAATCAATGTTTAAAAAAAATCGAAAAAAACAAGTTGTTCACTGTTTCAAACAGCAAAAAAAAAGAAGAAAAAATACCTTTGTTCGAAAAAAATAAAAAAGGGTAGGAAAAATCGATCGCTTCAATTGTCTTTAATCTATTTTTTCCTTGTTTTGTTCTTCATTGTGCTTCATGTTAATTCGTGGATTGTTCTTAATTATTTTGATATCTTGTTTTGGTATTTTAAACCTTTCTTTTCGGCCTTTCCCTGCCCTAACCTAAGCCCCATTACACCTTGTTTAAAGACCCATTGATTATTGCATTATGTTCATTTTTCGTAGTGAATACTTAATTGAATTCCAAGCATATGGTAATATTTTGGTTAGTTTCGGTTTGAGCGATTTCATTTACCCCAAACACTTTGAACGGATATGTGTGAATCTTTGTGAGGTATTGAGTCATGTTTTATTGAAGTTGTCAATTAATTGAGATATCTTGCTTACTTTAAATTTTCTTGGTTGTACCTTTGCTTGATTGTTACTTGAATTCGACTAGGGATGGCAAAAAAACCTGAACCCGACGGGGAAAACCGAAAACCGAATTAAACGGGTCGGGTTCAGGGATGATAAACGGGGATGGGGAAAACCCATTTATTTTAAACGGGGACGGGGACGGGTTTGGTAATCCCCGCCTCGATTACCCGATTACCTGCCCCGATTACCCGCCCCGATACCCGACCCGATAAATATTAAAAATAATTATTTATATATATATATAATATTAATAAATTTAATTTAAATAAAAATATATATTTAATTTAAATATATATATATATATACCCGGCCCGATTCCCAGCCCAATACCGACCCAATACCCGTTTAAATAATCGTTTGTGCTAAACGGGGATACCCGTTTCCCCGCGGTTTTTCCCGATTACCCGACGGGGATCCCCGTTTAAATCCCCGTGGTTTTTTAAACGGGGACGGGTACCGGTTTTTTAAATGGGGACGGGGACGGGGGGACCAATACCCGGCCCGAACCCGGCCCGTTGCCATCCCTAAATTCGACAAATATCATAGACTTAATTCGATTGGAAGTTTGAGGAATAAATTGAAATTGAAGATGACAACTTGTGATTTGGATGTATTAATTGATGAATGCTTGATGACAAGCATTTAATAAGTGAGAGAATTTGATAAGTGTTTAATTTAGTTAATATTTTTCTTGTAAATTACTCCTTAATCATTGGTTTTTGTGGCTTAATTGTTCGTTTTGATTCATTTTCTGTGCATGACGACAAATTCTATAAATTGCACAAAAAAGACATAATTCTGCATTTTTTTTATTTTCAGAATCAAAGCTGGCTGGAATTCGAATTTGAATTAAACTCTAGTTTAGGATAATATTTTAAACATTATATTTTATCTTTGTATTTTAGTTTAAATATGTTTTTTAGTATTTTAATTAAGTTTTAAGATATTATTTTTATATTTTATCTGTGTTTTAGGTATTTTAGTTTAAATAGGTTTTAGTCCTTTTAATTAGGATTTAGAATATTATTTAGAATATTATTTTTTAGGTATTTTAGTTTAAATAGTTTTTAGTGTTTTATTATGATTTAAGATGTTTTAGCTTGTTTTTAAGAATTTGAAGGTTATAAATACCCTCTCAGGGTAAGTTTAGAGAGATATCTCTCTCATCTGAGAATAAAATCTTCTTTTTCTCTCTAGTTTTCTCTCTATTTTCTCATACTTTTCAATTATGCTAAGTATGACTTTCGTCATGCTTAGCTAAATTTCTTTCAAGCCGAGGGCTACAGCGAAGGCTCAATTCCAAACGTGAGAATTGTAAGGTACTTAAATCGCTTCAGATTTTCTCTCTGTTTTCTGAGCTTACTTTTCAAATCAAAACGATTTCGACATTGGTTCGGATATTGTTATGGTTAACGTTTGAAGAAGGATTTGCTTATTGAAGCATATTCAACTTTCCGAGAACACACTTAGCAAAATTGTTTGTTAAGAAGAAACTGGGATCATAATCAGTTATTGTTGAAACAACATAATCCAAGTCGACAGCAAAAGAATTGTCCTTGTAAGCAGACGTGAATCTTGAAGTAAAAAACTGTTTCGATGATTCAAGGAAATTGTGACAAAGCTGAAGTCTGAGGTTACTTTCACCATAAGTTTTCTTTATTTCAATTTATTTATTTATTTTATTTGTTTATTTAATTTTTATCTCATTATACTTCTTTAAATAATTTAAAACCCCCTTTGATCTTTATTACTATTTTTAAAATCATTATTTTATTATTTTATTATTTTTCCTTTTATTATTTTATTTTATTCTATCTTTTCAATTTCATCTAGAATTCTATCTTCTTCTAAAATCAAGAAAGAGTTTTACTAAATAAGAAACACCACAGTCCCTATGGATCGACCATGCTTCTCTATACTACTTCCCATTTCTATTTAAGAAGCCAGAATTATTTTGATAGCAAAACGACGGTTATCAAGTAATACCAATTGATTTCCATTTCGATATTCAAGTGTACGAATATTGAAAAGTTTTGTTAACCTCGTGGGACAACGTCCATTTCAACATTATACCAATCAGGATGAAATTACTTCTAAAACAATAATTTTCCATGTATTAACTAGGTCCATTTTGTTTGAGTTATTTTTCTCAGCCAATACTAATGTTTTTAGTTTGCAATAGTTTATTTTCCAACCTTCCAATCAAAATATTGTCGAATTTACTTCACATTACTCCACCTTAAAGCTTTCTAATAAACGATAGTCTGTATACAATCATATAATTTAATATTTAATGAGATCAATGAGATAATTCCATTTTTTAAAAAAAAGAAAAGAAAAACATTTTCACAACAATATTATCTAATTACTGTAGGAAGATAATTAAGAATAAGTTATATTTAGTATTGTAAATTTGGTATGAGAAGGGGACGAGAATTACCCATTCATGGGAACACCAAAGCTCAAATTTAGCTCAATTCAATTTTAACAAAAGCATGAATTCGTTAATTTTTCTGAACTCCGAAGGATATATTACATCAAAGACATGGAGCCTCAATTACATGCCCAATCCAAACATGTTAGCATTTACCAAAAAAATGATTTAAAAAATAAAAACTAATAACATTACTACATACAAAAGGTGATAAAAGCAAGAATAAAGAAAAGCAGTTGGGGCACTCTACTTCAGGCAATCAATTTAACGACGGCGGAATCGCCTCTCACTCTCTAAACCTTCGACAGCCGTAAGCATCCGAGCATAACAAGCACACTCCGGAACGGAATCATATAACATAGGATTTCCAACGCTCGAGAGGCTGCTGCATTGTCTTCCGGGAAAACATTCTTAAGAGGAAAGTTGGAACTTGCCGCTAGGTTTTTTCCTTCTCCATCCCTGACAAATTCGAAAACAACAGAATCAGAGACCTTGGAATACTGGAAGCAGGCACGAGCAATTTATTCGAAGACTGGAACAGAGAATATAAAAGATAGCTGAAAACTTACAAAGGCAATGTAATACACGAAGGTCAATGCCGCTAAAACAACAAATGCGATTTGAAATACGTTATACCTGTAATGCGAATAGGCCCAAAAATGTTAATGCATGCTTCAACTGAACAAAACTTGGAATTCAAATGGTTTAAAAACTCACTTATACAAATATTTAATCCCACGAAGAGACTCCAATGTGTGGCCGAATATTTCCTGGGCAGCGGTTGCTTGAGCATAGTACCCAAATGCGGTGGAACAGAATTGTATGACACTGTAATTGCAAATGCAGATAAGATTTCATCAAATATTGTACAATGCATGATTCCCTTAATACAATTTTCAACAATCAAGCACAAACCTAGAAATTCAATGTGTTCTATTAAGAGATACCACCAGATAACATAGAAATAAGACAGAATACGTTAGCTAAGTCACCAACCTTATTGAGCACAAAAGAATAAGTCCCACATTGAACAGAAAAGAGTTCATTAAAGTAGCTCCCCACCTACAAAAATGTCCGGTAAGTATATGTCAGCCAGCTAATCGTTTTCTCAGCAATAATTAACCTAAAGGCGGTCAACATAAGATACATTACTTCATAGGGTGAATTGTAATGAAAACTAATTTGAGACCAAGCATCATTGCACCAGCAATCACAGCAAGCAGAAGGTAGAAGCAAAAGAATGCAAATGCAGCAGTACCCAGAAGACCTGAAAAGAAGGAAAAAATATATCACCCATAATTCATATATTTTGAAAGCAGCAAACAGAAAGAACGTTTAAGAACCGTATAGGAAGTACCCCATATATCGTCCAGCTTGATGAAAACCTCATTCAGGAAGGGAGAGAGTGGTGGATCGATCAGAAGGTATATAACAATATGTGCAATCCAAGCCACCGAAACAATCAACCTAACAAAGTGCCGAACAAAGGCATATTAGATAATTACTTTTAATACATTGGTGGTAACCTCATTCTTTAGAGAAAGACTAACAGTTTTATCCTTTTTCTCCAAGGATAGCAGTAATATATTTCTCTTTGGTGCATATATAGGGCTCGCACTTTGAATACATGTTATAGCCTCCTTTTTTTATTTACATGAAGCGCCATTTTCCAAACAGTGTGATGCAAAATACACAAACTCCATAGCTAATTAACAACACAATGCATGGTGTAAGCCCTCACCCTAGGATTCCCAAAACAAGTTTTGCCAAGTATCCAAGAACAGTCAAGGCCCAGGAAGTTTCAGCCTGAAATAACATAGCAAGGGGGTTAATGCAAGAATATTGAGAGAAAGAGGAGGGGGGGGGGGAGGGGGGGACATAGGGTATAGGACCGTAATCAAGTGTCATGCCTACACAAAGTTCCCAAGTTATACCTTTTCTCCTTGAGGATACATCTCTTCCAAAAGTTTTACATCTTCTTCTAGCTGAAGCAACTCCTGCAGATTTAATAAAGAATGTAAATAGCCACAAGTACATAACAATAAGAAATATGTGGAAACATCAAGTGACAACTACTTTTATCACTCATACCCCTAAAACCCAGTATTAACTTCAACTCTTACCAAGCAACAGCTAAAAACACTGCCACGAAGTAATACAGTGATTGAAATATAACTAAGCTTTATAATCATAAAGATTACAGCAGAAGCCAATTATTAAATATTATGATATTTCAACCCAAAAGGGGAACTTAATAAACAGATAACATTAGCAGTAGAGGGGGCTACAACTCATGATTAAAGGTAGTTTGGACAAAGTAGTTATTCTCATAGAGACTGGAACAAAATAGATTTCGGAGATAAATTTAAGTGTAGGATGTCAATAACATACCTTTTCCACAGCCTTAACATTTTTACGCCACTTTCTACCCTTAGAACCACTTTTTTCTTCCTGGCGAAGGCCATCAGCCGCTTTTTTCACTTCTCTTGCCCTTTTACCAAGTTCAGTTGCTTCCTACAGTATTGATTAAAACTATGGCCATGAGCTATTACAACTTAATCTACAAATATTTTTTTTTGATAAGAATTTCAGGCCTCGTTAAAAACACTTAATCTACAAATATCAATACTGTTTTCCAACTATAGTGCAAGGTTTGTTATGGCATCATCATAAGAAATAAAAAAAGAAAGCGGTGGACCTTAATATATTGTGAGCGAGTGATAACAGCCTTCGGACGGCGTATAAATGCAGCGATAAGCCCAAGGGGCAAAGAAGCAATACCTACACCACCAAATATCTGTCGAGAAATTCTGAAATGTAAGCAATATATTCTACCAAAAGAAAAGTCAACATTGACTAGAACTCTTAACTAAATTCCAATACAGATCTAATATGGATATTAGCAAGAAATTCAATACCGAGAAAAGTACTGATCCAACGATTGTGGCAAGAGCGACAACGTATTCTGGAAAGGTAGTACGCATAGTCCATGTTTTCTCTGATGAAGTATTTGCAGTATATGCAGAGCACTGTAACCAAAGAGAAAATAAGGAAATGGAATGTATGAGCTTAAAGAAACTAAGTGAAAAGATGCAATATTCTACAAGAGTAAAGGAAGGATAACACTGCATCTTCAATGGGAAAAATAATAACTAACCGCACGTGCTCCACTGCCACCAATACATGGCTGACCGCTAGAAAAATCCCAATTACTTGGGAAATTCGTAGTGTCAGAAGACAAGTGCCTAACACTAAAATCCACCTTTCCAGCTAGCCCTGACATGCCATGAAAAGGGATAAAATCAATGGTACGCCAGCTAAAATAAAACTGATAAGTAACACACAAACAATCAACAAATGCAAAAAAGCAATTTTCTTAGTAATGCCAGGCTTGCCTATGTAGAACTTTTTCTTCTTTTGGCTAAGATCTTCTGATTGTAAAAGCACCTTTAATCAAAATTAGTTTGCGGAGCATTAACAGAGCAGTTCAGTGATCAATATTGCTCATATTCCTAAATTAACATTCACCTCAATTGCTCAATATTTACATGGCAAGTAAAACGACTTACTGATCAAAGAAAAAACGCAACTAAAATTGATAAAAAAGGGACAAAAATGAAAACCAACCATATAGAATTCCAAGCAAGAGAGCACAAACAATTGCCGTTGTCACAACCCATATCAACGCGCTCTTTATCCGTTTTCCCATACTCCTGCAACAAAAACCAAATGGATAAAAAAATATAAATATATTTAAAAAAAATAGACAAATACATCAATACCATCAATGAATCATAAGAATCAAACTCATACAACCACATACTTGTCCTGATCTCCTTCGTAGTAAAACATAGCGAAGGGGATCACGAAAAAAACGAGCACAGCATCGATGATATAAACCGCGAGCCAAAGCTCTTTCATAGGCAAGGTGAGATTACACGCGCCATTGTATATCGCGTGCCGACACGCCTGCCGGTTGGCGACATCAGCCGGCAACATGAGTATGGAAATGGCAGCGATGAAGAGACCAAAAACGACGACGAATTTGGGGAAATACGCTTGGTTGGCGTCGTCCGGGTGCTGGTAATTGATAAGGAGGTAGACATTGAACAACAACACTAACACGCATACGACTACGGCGATGATCACCAGAGCGAGATTGAAATCGCCCATCGCTCCGAAGCTATCGAACCGAACCACAGTTTTGTTCTCAACTCTTCAAATTTCGAATTTCAAATTTTGTAGATCGGATCTAAGCTTTGTCTTGAGAGTCGGTTTTGTTTTGAAAAGGGAAAGGGAGGCTGAGTCCGGAGACGGTGAAGTGATTTGTTGAATTTTGGAGTATTTTTGACGTGTTGGCAGTTAAATGACGTTTCTACCCCGAAAAGAACTTGATAATGGCGGGACAAAAATGCTCGTGAAGGAGACTCGGAGTGGAGGTTAATGTAAAATCAGTTACAAGTACCGAACCAGGCTGTCTCCAATCAAACGATAAGCGTTTGATAAACTGAATGATTAAACAAAAATTGAAAATTCGTTAAGGCCTGCATCCCTTTTCTTCCTCATTTTAATATTTATGCTCCAACTGACTTGACTCAACCGTCCCAAATTTAGGACAAACCAGCGGAATTTTGAGTTGAGTTTCCTTATAATGTTTAAGGATAAACTACAAGTTTCGTCACTTAACTTTAACGTCAGTTCTGTTTTCGTTATTAATTCTTTTCAAAAAGTAATTTGGCCACTCAGTTTTGAAGATTAAATTTTATCTTTACCAAGTGAGTTATACCATGAATTTTTTAGGTCGGATCACATGAAATTTGGGTCATAAAAATCCTAACAATCTCTATATTGACACAAATTTTAAAAGTATAAGAAATCGAAATGAAAAAACTCAAATAAATGAAACATTTGAAGAAAACATAAAATCAATTATTCATCTCAACGTATAAATTCTTCACCTTAAGCATGTATTATCTATCTCCTCAACAAAATCTCTTAAGGGTATTAATCACTAATGAGTGTCAACTAAGTCCAAATAATACTTAAACTTTTTTTTGAACCATGGCAACTGCCAACCTTTCATTGATAATCTAAAACGTGTACAAAACATCAAACTGTCACAGTGGGAGGAGAAGAGAGTCGTTGCGAATAAAGGAAATTGGGGATTGTTAGTCTAGGGTTAGGGATTGAACACACAAATTTGGGAAATTGGAATCTAAAGGCACTTGAAGGGCATGTACCCATCTGGCTGGAATTAAAGAAACATGCCTAAGAAAATAAGCCCAAGCCACCTGCATCAGGAAGATAGAGTTTGTTAGCATTCGTACAATAGCTGGCAAATGTTAGATTCCCAGTACAATGTCAAGAAATAAAACCTATAAATGGGATGATCTGACCTATGCAAAATTTAAGTAAAGAATTTCCTTTTTCAAAATCTCCAATTCTCAATTCTTTCGTCTAAACTCTTTCTTTCTATCTAAGAACATAACTAATTGGTACCCATAGCCATTACTCCTAGCACTTTAATATATGGGCATGCCAAAAAGAAATCAAACGATGGCTGAAACATCTGACTTATCTGCCATTCAAAAGCAGATTGAAGATTTGTCTACCTTGGTGAAACAAGCTACAGACAATTCGAATCCTCCAAAATAGTGGGAAGCGGGAACGAAAGGATAACCAACTTGAAAAAAAAGGATGAATACGAATCAAGGATATGTGAAACAAATTCTACAAATTTTTACCGATCGAGAAGATGAGCAGGAACATACGAGTTCAGAGAATGACCAGGTGAATACTCTTACTCTTCCTCGGTGAATGTAACTATTGTGAATAAAAAGAGTAGGTTTTCATATAGACCAAATGAGGATGTTGATCTAAACCATAAGAGGTACAAACCAATCAACAATCTGTGACAAGTGATAACCAGTTGGGGGAAATAGCAATCTAAGAACTAATCTGGGTAGTTATCAGGAGGATAGAAGGGGTTATGCCTTGAACCCAGGTTCATCCATTCCGAGGCTGAAATTAGAGTTGCCTCCTTTCGACGGCAATAATCCAAGGGGTTGGTTACAAATATGCCAGAAATGTTTTCCCTTTATGTTGTTCCTGAAGATCAGAAACTGAAAGTAGTTGCAATGCATTTGGTAGGAAAAGCAGAGTCTTGGTTTGATGTCTATATCATACAGAAACATAGGGTTCATTGGCATAAATGCTTTTATTTGGAGATCGATGCTAGTTCAAAAGGGATAGGTGTTGTCCTGTCCCAAGAAGGCAGACCAATTGCTTTTTAAAGCAAAGCCTTGAGTCCTAAAAATGTTGATTTGTCCATCTGTGAAAGGGAGTATCTTGCTATTCTGTTGGTAGTTTCTAAGTGGAGGCATTACTTGGAAGGGAAGCCATTTGTCATCAAAACAGATCATGAACCATTGAAGTACTCGTTTGAACATAAATTAACTACAACTATTCAAAAGAGGGGCTTGACAAAGTTCTTAGACTTGGACTATACAATTTAGTATAAAAAAGGGAAATGTAATGTGGTAGCTGATGCTCTGTCTAGGCAATGGGAAGGTCATGGTCAATTGCAAGCTATGGTTGTTACAACCATAACTACTAGTTGGGTGAAGAAAATTAAAGAGAGCTACAAGCAGGATGACTTAGCTACTGGTTGGATTCAACTCTGTCGGTAAATCCTGATGCCGATGAGAAATGAAAGTATAACAAAGGAATTTTGAGATACAATACTAAGGTCTATATTGGAGCTTTTGGGAGTTTAAGACTATAAATATTGTAAACCCTCCATTATTCTCCTTAAGGGGGACATTCTGGAATTCAAACACCATACAATTGAGTTAAATCCTATTTTTATTAGCCAAACTTCAAGAACATGGTGACTACCAATGTCTAACACTGTGATGTGTGTCAGCAGACCAAGATTGAACATATAACACTTAGTCTCTTACAACGCCTTCCTATTACAACTCAGGCATGGGAGGTGATCACAATGGATTTCATAGAGGGTTTACCTATGTCATTTAAGAAAAACTGCATCTTGGTAATAGTTGATAAATTCACTAAGTATAACCATTTCTTATCCCTATCTCATCCCTATTCAGCATCACTTAGATAATGTCTATAAGCTCCTAGCCATCCTAAATGGCCATTTCAGATAGAGATAAGACCTTCACAACACCTTTTGGAAGGAACTGATGAAGCAATTGGGAACTAAAACATTGTTTAGTACAACCTATCACCCTCGGACAGATGGACAGACTGAAAGGGTAAACCAGTGTCTAAAGAAATCCCTAAGGGGGATTTGCTTCCTAAGTCCTAAACAATGGGCAAATGGTTATCTCATGCTGAGTGGTGGTATAACACCGATTACCACACAACATTGAAATTACCCATTTTTAGGCACTATATGGCTATCAGCCCCCAACTATGACTTGGCAGACAGACTCTCAAGTGCAAAGTGTTAATGACTTGCTCCACAGTAGAGAGGAAATAACAAGAATTGTAAAAGATCAACTAGAGCAGGCTCAAAACATAATGAAGCAATAGGCAGATAAAAATCGCTCAGAAATGGAGTTTCAAGTTGGGGAAGAAGTGTACCTGAAGTTACAGCAAGTGTACCTGAAGTTACAGCCATATCGACATAATTCCCTTGCCCTGTACAATAATCTCAAGTTAGCTGCGAGATTTTATAGCCCGTATAAAATTTTGCAAAAGATTGGGGAAGTAACGTATCGCCTCGACTTACCCAATGATTCGCGTTTGTACCCCGTGTTTCATGTGAGCCTTTTGAATAAATGAATTGGGGATTCGATTGTTGCTGCGATGAGTCCACCTGCAATGAATTATGAGAATCAATTTTAGGTTGCGCTACTGAAGATTTTGGGAAAGCGGATTGTAAATCGAAACAACAGGCCTATGACTCAACTAGTGGTTCAATGGGTTAACCTCAACTACGATCACGACACTTGGGAGGACTATTTCGTTCTTAAGTCCCAATTTCCACGGTTGATCCTTGGGGTCAAGGATCGTTTCAAGGGGCGGGTATTGTCACAGTGGGAGGAGAAGAGAGTCGCTGCATAGAAATGAAATTGGGGATTGTTAGTCAATGGTTAGGTATTGAACACACAAATTTGGGAAATTTGAATTTAAAGGCACGTGAAGAGCATGTGAAGAACTTACCCATCTGGCTAGAATTAAATGATCATGCCCAAGAAGAGAAGCCAAGCCACCTGCATCAGGAAGATAGAGTTTGTTAGCATTCGTACAGTAGCTGGCAAATGTTAGATTCTGAGTACAATGTAAAGAAATAAAACTTGTAAATGGGATGATCTCACATATGCAAAATTTGAATCAAGAATTTTATTTCTCTAAATCTCAAATTCTCTATTCTTTAATCTAAACTCTTTCTTTCTATCTAAGAACATAACACAAACCATTTATAAGTGATGAGCAATAATTAAAGCCAACCAGTTGTGATGCACTAACCAACAAAACAAACTCAGAAAAATAACATAGGCTGGCGTTTCAAAGCCCCTTGAAAAAACGGTGAATAACAACAAGGAACCAAAAACTAGAACACTTCGAGCCTTCAAAGCACAAAAACCCATCTCAAATCACCATTTACAGAGGGTCTAAACAGCGACAATCTACCGATGCTTCAACTTTCACGCAACAAGGAGCTTCTTCGATCCAGATCATTATTACCCAACGACGACTCCCCCACCAGGAGATACGATGCCTTATTGCGGGAGCGAGGAGTAAAATAGAATAAGTAAGAACGAAAAGGGGTCGTCCTCCCCTTCACTTCACTGATTACGGTACTAATTTCTGTTAAGTTTATCTCTCTTGACTTTAACTTGTTTATGACTGCTTTTGAATCACCTTCAACCATAATATCAATGAAACCCAAGTCAGCAGCAAACAAAATGGCATGAAGGGCCTCCATAGCCTCGACCATAAACACAGAGGTAATCCTTAAATACCATCTTCTACAAGCTCCTAATACGAATCCAAAATGTTTTCTAATGACCACTCCGGTCCATGAATGTTGCTGGGAATGGATAAAATGAGCATCGAAGTTTATTTTCACCGTCGGAGAACTCGGGGCCTTCCAACAGACGAAAAGAGGTTGCTGAGGGCCATAAATTACAAATGTAGCCCTCAAAAATTCAGAGCATTGGGACTTTATCAAGGTAATCACCTCCTCCTTTTTTTGCACTTTACCTTCATGAAATTGGATATTTCTCGTGTACCATGGAGCCCAAATTATGACCACAATTTATGCATGTGTATTACTCGGATGATGACTAAATAACTATTCCAACCAAACTAGAAAATCATCTGCTTGATTTACACCAGTCCAAGAATAAGGAAAAATAGACCAAACAGATTGCGCTAACACACAGTCACACACAATGTGAACCCTATTTTCAACTCCCATATTACAACATGGGCAAGTAGGATTATTAATAATCTTTTCTCATATAAACACTATAAAGACGGAATAAAATTATGAACGAAATGCCATACATGCAACTTGATTTTTCTTTGACACGAACTTGCCCATATGTACTTAAACACGACAGACCTTGTTGGCAAATCCTCAACTTCTTCTAATAAAAGCTATAAACCCCAGATTTTTCTCCACTCCAAACTTTGTAATCAACCTGATTAAAGTGAGAGAGTGGAATGCCCAGAATGTAGTTTGCCTCTTCCTGGTTAAATATTCTCCTAATAATCGATTCCCTCCAAATCATATTATCGCCCTCTATCAAATCCGCAATGGATTAAACCGAGTCATCTCGCATAGACTCTAGCCTTCGAGGAATACTTGTTGGCAACCAAAAATCATTCCAAATTGAGATCAAGCTCCCCGATCCCACCTTCCAACGCATACCCTTCTCTAACAGTCCCTTTGCACTCCATATACTTTGCCAGATGTATGAAAATGAAGAACCTCGACGGGAAGACAAAAAATCTCCCGCAGGGAAATATTTGGCCTTCAAAATTCTAGCTACCAAAGAAGAAGAATTGTGAACCAATTGCCAGCCCTGTTTTGCCAACAAAACTATATTAAATTTTGCCAAGTTGCAAAAATCGAGGGGCCCATTTTCCTTAAGGTGACACAACCTCTTCCATTGACACCAATGAATACCACGTTTGTTCTCCGACTTCTGCCATCAGAATCTCGACATGATACTCTCAAGCTCCATTCATAAACTCTTTGGCAAAAGAAAACATGACATAGCGAACAAATGAATCGCTTAAGGATGGACTTTATAAATACTTCCTTACCACCTTGAGACAGGACCCGAACGCACCACCCCATACTCGACTCTGGAATTTTTCCCGCAAAACGCAAAAGCCGCTCCTTTATTTCTTCCCACAATAGCGGGAAGGCCCAAATATTTTTTCGGGTTGGAAATATTTGAAATTCTCAGAATACGCCGAACGTCATTGCGATTTTCATCAATAACATTTGAACTGAAGAAAAGCCTTGATTTAACAAAATTTATCTCTTGTTCAGAACATTCCCCGTATATTCAAAGGATCTCTTTCATCTGAATTGCCACATTGCGCGAAGCTTCCCTAAACAGTAGATTGTCATCAGCAAAAAAGAGATGAGAAACCAAAGGGGCATACATGTTTATCCGAACCCCATGTAACAAACCAACATCAATGGAGAAGCAAATCAGAGAAGAAAGCCCTTCATTGTAGATTAAAAATAGATACGGGCTTAGAGGATCACCCTCTTTACGGATTGAAAGATGTACCTGTCACACCATTAATTACAACCGAATACGAAACAGAACAAATACAATATTTGAGCATCCGGATCCAGGAAGCTTTAATGTTATTGATTCATGTGATAAATTGAATTTTATTTTATTTCTCAAATTCATTTTGTCTACAAAATTGAACTCTTTTACGTTTTTCAAAATTGTCATACTTATGGTTGTCTTGTTCATTGCAATATTCTTTTTTTCTTGATTGAGTCGAGATATTTTCACCACTAACGTGGTCTTCTTACAGGAAGAATCAAATAATGGTTGCATAGACTAAAATTGTTGAAGTGTGCCGAACATAGAATTTGACATTATTTCTCTGCTTTTTTTTATCACAACTAGAAAGCTTTTATAAATTTCCATAGTTCCACCTTCAATAAAGTACCTGTATTTTTATTTTTTTTGAACTCGGAGTATCTAATGAAATTAATTTTTTTTTCTCAAATTCAGAACATGCTTTATATTACCAAGTGGTGGAACATCTTAATCTTAATAGTATCAATACATGTAATCTTATAACAATTATTAGATTTTAACTTAATATGAACACCAGAAAATTTTATACGTCGGAAATCAGTCCGTTTAAAACTTATATGAATATTTAGAAAAAGTAAATTGAAAAACATCGACTCGTAATAGACACTGGGACGGGAGCATTGCTAAATATCAGCCTGTTTATGTGAACTAAAAGTGGGAAATGGCTACCTCAATTTCGTTCTATCCAAATGAAAACAAGAGAAAGTAATACGAAACACCCCCAAGTAGCAATCCAATTACTCTTTGCCCACAGCTTGCAAGAGGAGGAGCAATTTCAGAAAGTAATACGAAACACCCCCAATCGTAGCGTACTTCAACTTCTCAGGCCCTTCCACTTCCGGGAAATCACTATCTGCAGAACGATTGAATCCGCCGGCCAACCACCCCAAGTTCTTATATCCTCCGTCGTATAGCTTCGAAGTGGCCATCATAGACCTAAGCACAACAATATCATCACCCAAAAAACCACAAAACAAAGAAGTTGACATGAAGCTTTTACCTTAGACCTTCACCGCAAGCCACGAGCAGCTTAGCATCCTTGTTGTCGGAGACAGCGGCATCAACCTCTTGGATGAAATCAGGGTTAATCATGGTGAAGTTTTGGCCAGTCCACAAGCCAATGTACCCAAAATGAACCCATTTCTTCAAAAGAGTAATGGGGCTATTGTCCGTGTCCTTGACGAAGAGTGGCACGTGAAGTGACCCTTTAACATATCCTTTTACTCGCTCCCACTGCGGTCTAATGTCCAGCAACTTGAAGCCGTCGGAGTTCAGGGCTGTTGCTGCGTCCTTCGGCAGTATGGGTTTCACTTCACCCGACTGAATTAGCTGTTGGACGCTGCTTGAAGCCGCGGTGTTGAGTCTAATGGTTCTGGTTTTATAGGACGTGAACAAAGGTGGTTTCGGTTGCTTCTCTTGCTTCAGCAAGGATGACCGGAAGTGGTTCAGTTGAACTGCCATTTTTGTTCCCTATCCTAAAAAATATCAGCCGTGTCTGCTTGTTCACTTATTTTTCTTTGTTTCCGCCTGTTGGAGCCCACGACGTTATCTTCCAAATTTTAGTTAAATTACATTAGAAGTACCCAATTTATGGCTCAAATTCTAGACGGGTCTAAAATTTTAAACTATTCTAATTAATTCCTTTTTTAGTAACTTATGGTAATTACAAGGTAATATAAGTTTATGATATTTTTTAGTCATTGACATTGTACAACCTTGTAGAAACAACTGCTCAAATTTAAAATCTCTAAAAAAATAATTTTATCTTTTACTATTAAAATCGTTTAATGAATTCTCTAATTTTCAACGTCGTTTTAATTACATCATTCTTTTGGTTTATGCATTGGTTCAAGCAATAAATGTCAATTTGGATACTTGGATATGATTTTAAATATCAATTTTGAAGTTATTTTTAAAAAGTGACTTATTAAAAATACCGTAGAAAAGAATTTTTAAAAATATCTTTTTAATAGTGTAATTTAAAATTTAAATGTTTAAAATTATTGTTAAAAGTGATTTTAAAAAGAGAAAATAAACTCAGTGACCGAAAATGCCTTATAATATATGATTTTAATCAACTTTTTTTGGATTTGCGAAAATGACCAACAAATTCGCAACACGAACTCCTATTTCGCAACCCAGTTTCCAAATTCGCGTTGCGAATATGTAAATCGCAACGCGAATTTGTAAATCGCAACACAGAAGTCAAATTCGCAACACAAAAGTCAAATTCGCAACACAAAAGTCAAATTTGCAACACATAAGTCAAATTCGCAACTGAATTTCAAAATCACAACTCGATTTTCGAATTCGCAACACGAATTTAATTTCGCAACAGGTTTTATTTTTGCAACACAAATGTTTTGGGTATATAACTACGCAGCAGTAACAACTCATAACTTAAATCCCTAAATCACAACTCATTCCATCTTTATCTATCACTCTCTCCGGCGACATCTGTTCCTATATCCAACGACATCCTTCCCCATCTCTAATTTTTTTTAAATAATTTTATTTCTATACAATTTTTCAATGATTTCTCTCCCAAATTATCAACTATCAACTTAATAAAGGTATGTTTTTCTCTAAGTTAGTGCTGATATCTAGTTTATAGCTCGTTTGTTTAGTAAATTAATTTACAATTTGTAGAATGAAATCATCTAATGTTGATCATGTTTGGATAGATTTGAGTTTTGAAGGGTCATGGGAGAATGTTCATGGTGTTTTACAATATGTGCCTTTACCCATGAATCTTCAACTAAAACTGTCATTAAAAAAGTTAACTTATGAAACTCTAATGTTACGTGTTGCAAAGAAATTGAATTTAGAGCCTCTAAGTGGATTTAGGCTATCTTATAAGAGAAAAGGTAAAGTTTATTTGTTAATCGACAATGAAGATATTGAACGATTCATTGCTTACATTAGTGTTTCGCAAGAAGATGATGTTACATTAGATGTTGTTGAACCTAAAAGTAGTGAAGTTGGGTCAGTAGCGGGTAGTAATCAACTAAGTTCTTCAACCCCAGTTTATGGTGCTCACAATGTACAACGTTGTTATCAACCTCAAATTTAATGGTTCCACTACAATTTCATCACAAAGAAAATTTTGTTTCACCACAAAGAAAATTTTGTTTCACCACATTTCCAATACCGAACACAATCTTTTCCTAATCCAAATCCCAATCAACTTTCAGCACCAAATTCCGGTTTTCGTATTAACCAGTTAAACGATTATGAGCCAACAGAAAAAATTGTGAGTACTAGTCAGTATTCGAAATTTGATCTTGGTCAATACCCGGACTTTGATCTTGGTCAATACTCGGATTTTGATGATGTTTCAGAAGAAGAAACATACCCTACGTGTAATGATTTTGATATTGGTCAATACCCGAATTTTGATGATGAAACAGCCGCTGCCGAGGAAGATGTTGTTGATGATAATGAGGAGGAAGTTATGACTGTGAATGAACATGTTGAACATCCATTCTTTAATTCATATAACCCTGAAGAAGAAGTCACCGAAGAAAACAAAAAGAAGAAAATACCACGGGAGTATAACTAAAATATGCCCGAATTACTTCAGATATTGGAAGAAGAGTTGGTAAAGATAGCAGTTGATTGTTACACAAAAGTTATTTGTATCAAGAAAGATGATTGTTTTGATACAAAGGAAGACTTGAAGATAGTTTTGTATACGAAATGTGTGGAATATGGCTATCAATTAAAAGTTAACAAATCAAGCAAAGATCGTTTTGAAACAAAGTGTATGATTGACAAAAATTATATGTGGCGTATGATTGCAAAGAGGATAAAAGATTACGAAATGTTTCAAGTTAGGACCTTTATTGATAAACATACATGTTCAAGAACCCAAGTTTTTTCTCACCATAGACAGGCAAACAAAAAGGTGTTGGGTGGTTTTCTAGCTGAGTTAATGTTTATGAATGGCAGAGTATATCGGAGACATGAAATTATGACTGACATGAATGCTCGGTTCAAGATTAGTATCTCATATTCTCAAGCTTGGAGAGCCAAATGTTATGCCTTGGAATTGTTGAGGGGGTCTCCAGAAGCATCGTTTGCCCAACTGTCGGCTTATTGTCACAATTTAAAGCTGAAAAATCTTGGGTTAGTAACTCATATCAAAACAGATAGAGATGGACGCTTTGGGTTGCTGTTTATCGCCATTGGTGCTGTGGTTAGTAAATCAATATAATTTTGTTGACTCATTTTTTGTTAGTTACATGCATTTCATATTTAAATGATTATATTTCTTGTGTATATTATTTTGTAGATTCGTTCGTTTATTACTTGTATGCGCCCAGTTATTATAGTTGACGGAGCACATTAGAAAGGTCGATACCTTGGAGTAAACTTATTAGCAGTAGCCATGGATGCTAACAATGGGATACTGCCAATAGCTTACGGGGTTGGCAAATCTGAAACCTCTGATTCATGGACATGGTTTATAGGGCATCTTAGGGATTACATAAGTCCTATTAGCAATTTGAAAATCATATCTGATAAGGCAAACTCAATTGACAACGCTGTTAGAAGGTGTTTCCCAGATGTTTTTCATGGACTTTGTGGTGTTCATTTGTACAGAAATCTAAAATCAATGTCTGCTAGTATAAAAAATCACAAATGGACATATTGGAAGGCTGTAAAAGCTTATCGGGAAGTGGATTTTAATAAGCATATAAATTGTTTAAGACGTGTTTTGCCTCAATGTGCTCAAACACTAGAAGATGTCGGGTTTGAAAGATGGTCAAGAGTACATCAACTTAGAGCAAGATATGGTTTCATGACATCTAATAGTGCAGAATCAATCAACGCTCTAAGTCGTCATTCCCGGAAATTACCCATTACTATGTTAATGGAGTTTTTTCGAGCCTCTATTCAACAGTGGTACTACAAGAAAAGAAACCATGCAGGTATTATTTCTTTAAATTCGTAACTTATCATATATTTTACTAAGTATTATTTATTTAAATTTACAGGAACATTGGAACGTCGTGTTACACCATGGACTGAAAAAAAGATCACTAAACGTGTTGTGAAGTCAACGTCATGGAGAGTTGAACCATGTTCAAACACTTTGTTTGAAGTATTGGATAATAACTTAAATGGGCTTGTCGATCTAAATACAAAAACGTGTAGTTGTATGAAACGGAAAACATCTGGTTATCCGTGTGACCATGTTATAAAAGTTGCTCTTCATCTAAACCAAGATGATTCAAGCGCATACACTATGGATTGCTACACTACAGAAGTATATCGACAGACTTATGCCGAGATTGTCTACCCTATTCCACATCCTTCTGAGTGAGACATACCAGATGACTGACAAATAGTTTTGCCACCAGTCATGGACAACAGGCTACCTGACCGACCAAAAAATCACGATCGTATACCGTCTAAGGGTGAAGAGAAGAGGATATCTACATGTAGTCGGTGCAAGGAAAGTGGTCATACAAGGTTGACCTATGGATCACCAGTGCCATCACAATCATCTTTTCCTTTACCAAAATATGGATCCTCATCAAAATCCAAAGCTCATATGGTGCCAAGCAAAAGGAAATCAAAATCTCAATCAAAATCAAAATCCCAATCACAACCGACTTCACCTTTTGAGACTTATTAACTTAGGTAATTTTTAAATGCAAATGTTGTATTATGTGTGAATGCATACATTTTCAGTTAGACATTCATTAGTAACTTGAGTTTGAACATTGCTATGATCTGTTCAGTTGTTATCACTTATCAGATTGATGTCTGTTATCTTTTTAAAGGTGTTTTCCTTGAATTCGCAACGCGAAAGTCAAATTCACGTTGCGATTTTTTGTTGCGATTGTTGCGAAAATCAAAATCGCAAACCGAAAATCACAACGCGAATTTGACTTTTGCGTTGCGAATTTAACTTTAACGTTGCAAATTTGACTATTGCAACACGAAAATCGCAATGCAAATTTGACTATCGCAACGAGAAAATCGCAACGCGAATTTGACTTTCACGTTGCGAAAGTGTACCTTCAACAATCTTTTTTGCCTTCAACATAATGTAGATTGAATTTAAACAAATCAACTTTTATAAATCAATGAAACAAGTAAAAAATAATTCTTATTTACACATCAATTAAACAAATCAACTTTTACAAATCAACAAGCAAAAAATAATTCTTATTTCCTCAACAAATCAACTTTTACAAAGAGAACAAATCAATGTAAAATTCAATTAAACAAGGAAAAAAAGTGTACCCCAGACAGTTGTTTATGCACAAATACATCAATTTCACGTAGCTCACGTTAGGAATAACCTGCAGAAACTAAACATTTGCTCAAACAACACTTTCTACACATCTAAAACCAACAAACAACAAATTATTGAATTCTAGGTACTTAACCAAACATTTTCAAACCAACAAAGAGTATATATGTTAACAACACTTGCTCAAACTTACCAATTGTTTATGCAAACTTTCAGCACGCGGATGC